TTGATTCTGGTCAAGGGCAAGCACCTCAGTTGCAGGCCCCTCCCCACCCTGGCGGCAGCCAACTGCTCTCTCACATCGCTGTTTCTCTCTCTGTCTCTCCCCTTCCTTCCGCTCCCCTGAAAATCAATAGGAAAACATCCTCGGGGAGGATTAACACGAAGAAGAAGAACCTCAGCTCCTTGGGGTGGAGCCTTCCCTTCCCCTCCCCAGAGCTTCCTCACGGGAGGGAGGAGGGAAGGCCGTCCTGCGAGGCTGGAGCCTGGGTCGCTGCGCTTGTCTTGCTGCTCTCTGCTCCCCAGACGATGCACGCAGCCTCCCCAGGGCCCTCACGCCGCACACGCGCCTGGAGCCGGCGGGCGGCAGGAGGCAGCTTGCAGGCGGGCGGTTAGAATAGCCGCTGCTGCTCCACAGCCTCGGAGAAACCTTCCTCCAGTGGAAGGTGGTCGCCGGCCCTCGGCGCTCACCCGGGATGACGGACAGGTCCCTCCCTATGGAGAGGAACCTGCTGGGGACCTGCGTGCTCCCACAACGTCCGTTTAGAACCTAGAAAGGTGGAACAAACCGTCACCGCACGGGAGACACCGTTCTCACGGCTGCAGGCTGTCCGTGTCCCGGGACACGTTTCCCCTGAAAACGGCTGCTCCTACCTGGTGTCGGCCTGGCCAGAGGGACGGCCCCCTCGGGGCGTCGCTCACATGTCCCCTTCCCGCCCGCCCAGGTCGCCCCGGTACCGGCAGAGCCGCGGGCTCCCCTGCGCGGGGTCCGTCCCCGTGCACCTCTCGCCTGCGTGGGCAACGCTACAGCCGCGTCTGCTCTCCCGTCGGCTCCGCAGCCGGAAGCTGGGACAATTGCCCTCAGATGCCGTCCAGGTTTCCAGAACTGAAGCCACGACTTCCCGCTGACACTGCGGCCGTCGGCTCAGGTGGACGGCGCGGTCTGTCCGACGCGGGGCCATCGGCTGCTGGCCCGTCCTCAGGTCCGTGAAGCACACCCTGCTCATAGCGCCGTCCGCAGCCCCCGGGCAGGCACCGCGGGCTCTGACACCAAGAACGACGCGTCCCTTCCCTCGTGCGGCACCAGCAGCTCACGGAGCAGCCACGGGCCCAGAAGCAGCAGGAGCTGTGGCTCCCTTTGCGTCTTAATCGTTCACTTGAGTTTACTTTTTTAGTTTTAAAATTAACATTTTTTTTACTTATAAGAGTTTCCTACTCTAGTTGTGGAATATTTAGAAAACATAGAAGGGGATTTTTTTTAAAAAGTAAAGATTGCCCTGGCTGGTGGATAGAACATCGGCCTGCGGACCAAAGGGTCCCGGGTTCGATTCCGGTCAAGGGCATGTACCTCGGTTGCAGGCTCCTCCCCAGCCCAGGCCTGGTCAGGGCTCATGCAGGAGGCAAGCAGTCGATGTGTTTCTCTCCCATCGATGTTTCCTTCTGTCTTCCATTCTCTCTAAATTCAATGGAAAAATATCCTCGGGTGAGGATTTAAAAAAAACACAAAACAGCAAAGATGAAAGGAATCTCACCAACGATCAATAGTATTCAGTTTATTGCATCTCATCACATGGGCGTGCGATGTCTGGACAACACACACACACACACACACACACACACACACATATGTGCACCCCGCTTTTTTAATGCTTTAGCGTAAACATTTCATGTCATTGAAAATCTTACAAACATCACATTTAATGCTGACGGTTGAGTGCTTGTCCCATAATTTACCGGCCCTCCCCCACTAGTGGACATTGAGCTGTTTCTAAATGCTGGCTGTTGTAAATAAGGTTTTCACTAAACACTCTGTGCTTAAAACTTTGTTTATATTTTGCTTAATTTCCTAAGGACGGTGCTCGGAAGCAGCGTTGCCGAGTCGGGTGCGGGAATATTTCAGGGCTCTGGGTACATAGTTTCCAATTGCGTTTCAAATACGTTCCAACGTGTGGTGCCAGTTTGCTCTGCTGCTCGCCAGCTCGTGCCAGTTAGTGGGAGGCTGAGCCATCACAGCGCCCTCGCGTGGGCGTGCGGAGCCCATCCCCCCAGAGGGGACCCGGCCAGGCCTTCGCGAGGGCTGGTCCCGGAGCCCCTGGTAGCTAGTCAGTCAGTCAGTCATTGACCTTTTTCATCCATTGTATCGACTTTAAAAGGAAGGAATTCCTCTGTTGGCTGATAGATTTAACAGAGACTAGGATTTACAAAGACCCCCCCCCCCCCCAGGACGGTCCACTGGACAGTGCCGGGCACAGGGCAGGCATAGTTGCTGCTTCCCCTCCAATCGCAGAGAGGCTGTGAGCTCACAGATTAGAGACTAGACAAAGCAAACCTCCCCTAAAAACATCCTGCTTGGAGGCCCTGCCGGCGTGGCTGCTCAGGGGCTGAGCATCGACCTGTGAACCAGGAGGCCACGGTTCGATTCCCAGTCAGGGCACAGGCCCAGGTGCTGGGCTGTCCCTGGTGTGGGGCGTGCAGGGGGCAACCAGTCAAGGATTGTCTCTCCTCATTGGTGCTTCTCTCTCTCCCCCTCTCCCTTCCTCTGTGAAATCAATAAAAGTACATTTAAAAACAAACAGAAAACCACATTCCACTTTGAGGTCCTTGGCGAACAACCCATCCAGAGGAATAATGGTTTTTATTTATTGTTGTTATGATCTGTCGCTCAGGGCATGGAACGGGTGGGATCTCTCCAGCCCACACCTTGGCCAGAGCGCCAAGCCCGTCTGAGAGGAGCAGCGCCCTCGCTGAGACCTCATGGGAACTCATTCGGGAGCAGTTCACGTCCTCGCCTGGGAGGTGAGGTTGCTGGACCAGGTGGACATTTAGGTTCCTCCAACTCTAACGATGTTCTAGGTCTTTGACCATTTTCAGAAGCGGATGTGTGTGGAGGTTGCAGATTTGAGACGTGGATGCGATGTTGGGGAGAGGACAGTGCAACCGAGTCTGGAAACAGTTGGTTCAACCAGCATCTCCACCCCCAGGAGCCGTGGCCTGGGCTGAGCAGGACCAGGCACTCACCGAGGGGGAGCGGGACCCTCTGCTCGAAGCTGGGAAGGTTGGCTTCTCGCCCGAGTCTAGGCCGAGAGCTGGAGCCGACACGGAAAAGATAATGACAAGACGAGCACCGTGGCCAGCAGTGGTCGGAGTGGCTGCGAGGCCTGGACGTCTGTGCACAGGAAACAGGCAGGTGAGGGTCGGTGGCTTCGCCGGGTCATTGGTAGCAATCAGCCGTGGAGACCCTGGGGGTCAGGCGGAGGGGGCATGGCCTGGATGTCTGGCGAGAGCAGAGTAACATGATGGGTCCCGTGGTGTCGCGTGGACAGCCTGACCAAGGCCAGCGCTCGCCCCGAGCTTGGGAGACGGGCGTTTGGACAGTTACAGGGAGTGAGGCGCTCTCTGTGGAGCCCTCGGTGCTGAGGTGCAGGCGTGCAGCTACTGGACTCACACAGGACAGTCGAGGCCAGGCCGCGCTGCGCGGAGGTGGACCCTGAGTGTCCCGCTCTCTGCGATGACCTCTGGGCCATTGCTGCCCCGCGGCCCCACCCCCTGCTTCTCCCTTCGGGGGCCTTCCAGGCAGAGAGCTTGCTCAGAAAGACCAAGCACCTGACATTGTTTTTAAGCTCCGAGCGAAAGGCCTGCACTTCGCAAGGGCCTGCCCATGTGGCTCAGGGAGGATGCAGGTCAGTTATCGTGGCCGAATTCCAAACAGCAGCGCTGCCTCGCAGCACCGAGCGCCAGTATCTGCGAGGACGTCAAGTCTGCACGTAAAGACTTTAACTAGTTCGGTCTCCGAAGAGTTTGGTCTCAGACCCAAAGGGCGTGCCTCCTCCTGGGGCTGTGGCAGGTCCATGGGCTGAAAGGACCCGCCCCGCCCGCTGTGAGGGTGGTTCCAACGGCAGTCCCCGCCTTCCGCTCCGAGAGGGTCCGCCTGGGAGGAGGCGGTGACCCCGGAAAGACCCCAGGGTGTGGCTCAGCAACGGGGCTGTGATGGATGCCAAGGCACAGGCGGGTGGGTAGGGCCGGTGCCCACGTCAGCAAGTGCTCGCCCTCCCACACGGACGGCTCAGTGCTGCAGAGTCTGACGCGAGGGGGCCAGGAGAGAAACGATGGAAGATCTTCATGAAACCTGGTCTCGCCGGAAAGCGGGGCATGTGGCGGCCAGGACCCTTCCAGACCAGGCAGGTCCTGACAGTGGCTTCGTCTCGAGGTTCGTGCCCGTTCAGCACAGCGGCGGCAGCCACAGCCACAGCCACAGCCACAGCCACAGCCAGAGCGGCCGCCAGCTCCGGCCAGGCCTGGCTTCCAGGTGCCTCCAGGCCAAGCTCAGAGGGTGGATGGCTCGCTGCCAGGCCACACCCAGAGAGACGAGCTGATGCCCGATGCCCGTGGGGAGGCGAGGACCGCTGCCCGCCCTCCTGGAGCGATGGGTGCTGGCAACCGGCCGGCTTGAGAAACGTGGGCCAGGAGGGGAATGTGTTCAAGGCGGCTCACCCGAGAGGGCAGGGCTGCAGGGCCCGCTGCTCTGGGCCAGCCTCGGCCTAAAGGGATGGATCCCACAGAGAAGATCACGGGCTGGAGGCCCAAGGAAGGGAGCCCTTCACTTCCCTGCGGAATCTGGGGGTGTCCCCTGGGCAGGTTTGAGAAGCTTCGAGCTCACGCACACACAGAGTACGCGGCTCCTGCTGTTCTTTGCCCCGTCCCACACAGTCACAGCCACCGAGCTGCCCCGGGGCCGCACGGCTCAGCCCGACAAGCCCGCAGGCCGCGGCCCCGGCTCCCTCGCAGCCACCGTGGCGGGCACATCGCGCCGCCCACCTGGCTACGCAGGCCCCGGCCGCTCTAAGAGCGCTGTCGCTGCGCCTAGAGCAGTGGTTCTCAGCCTTCCTAACGCCGCGACCCTTTAATACAGCTCCTCATGTTGTGGTGACCCCCAACTTCGTTGTTACAAATTGAACATAGTTAAAGCACAGTGATTAATCACAAAAACAATATGTAATTATATGTGTGTTTTCCAATGGTCTTAGGCGACCCCTGTGAAAGGGTCGTTCGACCCCCAAAGGGATCGCGACCCACAGGTTGAGAACCGCTGGCCGAGAGGCTCTGAAAGGCCAGGGGCTCCCGCAGAAGGCAGTTCCAAGCCTGGGAAGGTGATCCGGGGAGCGGACTCCTGGCGGGAGGTGTTTCCGTCGGTGTTGGCGGTGGCTCTCGGCACCAGCATTTCCAGGAGGACATCTCTCGGAGCTGGAAAAGTGTGTAGTGTGTTATTTTGTAAAAGTTGCTCTAAGGATGCACGAGAAATGATTAAGCGCTTAGGCCTGAGGGCGGGCTGAGGCGGCGGGGCATGTCCCTCCCCGTCCGTCCTCCTGCAGCAGCGCAGGGAGGGCCGCTGGCGTGTCTGACACGTGCTGGGCCGTACCCCACGCCCCTCGCTGCACGCCCTCCCTCGTCACGGCCACCTGGCCTGGCTGCACTGCTGTTCGCGTGGGAGCACTCACCTGGCCGCACAGGCCGGGCTGCACTGCTGTTCGCGTGGGAGCACTCACCTGGCCGCACAGGCCGGGCTGCACTGCTGTTCGCGTGGGAGCACTCACCTGGCCGCACAGGCCTGGCTGCACTGCTGTTCGCGTGGGAGCACTCACCTGGCCGCACAGGCCTGGCTGCACTGCTGTTCGCGTGGGAGCACTCACCTGGCCGCACAGGCCTGGCTGCACTGCTGTTCGCGTGGGAGCACTCACCTGGCCGCACAGGCCTGGCTGCACTGCTGTTCGCGTGGGAGCACTCACCTGGCTGCACAGGCCTGGCTGCACTGCTGTTCGCGTGGGAGCACGCACCTGGCAGCACAGGCCTGGCCTAGACCGCATGATGCAGCCCCAGGAGAGGCGGCAGGTGTGGCCGCAGGCACGACGACTCAGAGTCCGCGGGGCGGATGTCGGTCTCTTCCGGGCGGCATCGTGGTGGGTGTCCCTGCGCAAGCTCGCCCCCGGCCCGAGGCGCTGCTGGCCGCATCCCCCTGGCTCCCAGTCTCTTCCCGATGTGTCTCTTGCTCACACCCCTCCCCACGCCCACCCTAAGCCAGCGTCCGCTGCAGGGACGGGGCCACCACGCTGCCTCCAGGCCACACAGCCCCATCACTGCCGTGGTGCTTGGGGGGGAGGAGGGCCGGGAACTGGGAAAGCCACTCAGGGCTGTGAGAGCAGGTGGAGCCGCAGGAAAGCCATCCTCGAGCCCCACAGAACGTACAGGGGACCGGCAGTAAGAGGCGCCAGGTCCCCTGGTCCCCTTACGTACCACAGGCATGGAAGTCCCCGGCCCCGGTGACCAGGACCAGCGCGCCCTTCAAGCCAGGACGGGCGGGTCCCTACTGTCCGCCCCAGCTCCTGTCCTGGGGCTGAGGGTCAGGAACCTGGGGTGTGTGGGTCTGCGGACAGCCCGGGGGCACATGCTGAGTCCACAGGGAGCTGAGCCCCAAACTAGACCTGCTCGCCCCGCAGCCTCGCTGTGACGAACGTTAGACCTTGTTGGCTTCGTGCAGCTGTTCAGGGACCCAGCAGCGTGACATCCGGCAGAATGAACGGCGCTCTGAGGGGTGCTCTCCGAGGGGTGCACAGGGTCAAAGGCCTCGCAGGCGGCGGGAAGCAGACAGGAAGAGACTCTAGGGAAAGGAGGGCGGATATTCACGGTCGCTTTTCCGCGGGGGTGGGGGTGGGGGTGGGGTGTCAGGCGTCACCTATCGATGCTCCGAGGACTCCAGGCCAACCTGGGGGGACGCCCTTTCTGGGAGCGGGGGGGCCCGAATGAAGTCCCAGTTTGATGACTCACGTAGGTGGTTGTGTTCTGGGCCTTGGTCCTGTTTTAACGCGCGCGGAGCTGGCCCTGCTCTGTGCCCTCACATCCTGCCTGTCTGCATGGATTGCTTAAGCGCGTGCTCCGTGCAGTCAGTTCTCACCGTGGCTCCTCTCGCCCGGGGACTTGGGGAACCACCTGCACTTGTGGACTGGTTTCCTGTGGTCAGAGCGAGAGGGCTCAGCGAGACGGGAGCCCAGCTCTGCTCCAGCCCAAGCCCCACAGGGCATGGCCGTCATGGGAAGCCACTCAGAGGAGAGGCGGCTTTCCAGTGTCCATCGTGGAAATTGTGTCCGTGAAAACCGCAGGATGTTGGAAACAAATGCTCTCGGATAAGACGCTTCTGCTGTTTGCCGGGGCAGATGGTGGAGGAACCCCTCACCACGGGGTTTGGCCTGGTGCCCTGGCGTGGCGCCCGCCTCCCGCTCTCTATCCTGGCACTTCCTGCTCTGCCAGGCCCTCCACTCACAGGCACGGCCGTGCCAGGAGGCCAGCTGCCGGGGCGGTGAGCTGGCAGCCACTCCCCCGAGCCCACCAGAGCCTGGGCCCGGCGTGTGAGGAGGGAGAGCCGAGTGCGCGGAGGGCACGGCGTCTAGGAATCCAGTCGTCTGGAGCCAGTGCAACGCCCGCCTCCCTGGGACCCGCTTTCTCAACCCCCTTCCAGGGACTGGAGGGGCCGAGAGCAGAGGCAGCCGCCAGTGTGGGGCGGGGCCAAAGGGCACCCACTGGAGGGGAGCGTTCTGAGGGGGACACGGGCCCCTCGTGTTGAAACCTGGAGCCAGTCAACCCTCCAAGGCCTGGCCAGCCTTCTGCTTCTGCCCTGACCGGCCGTCTCGCTGGGCCAGGGGCTCCCCGGGGGTGCGCCTCTGCAGCCAACCCCGCGGGGGGCAGCTCTGCGGGCGGTTACGAGTCAGATGCACCGGCCGCGCTCCCTCTGCTCCCCGTAACGGTGTGCAGTGCCGTCCGGTCGTCGTCCAGTTCACAGGAACCCTGGGCGCCATGCTGGTTTTGGACAGCTTTGTTCCTGGAATCCTGAACATCCGTAGCTTCAAAATCTGACCGCTGTTCCAGGGTCTGAATAGAGAATGAATATGGACAATTAATGGATGAGCCTGGCCGCTGGGGCTCAGGGGCTGAGCATCGTCCTATGCACAAGAGGTCACGGTGCGATTCCCGGTCAGGGCACGTGCCCAGGTTTCGGGCTGATTCCCAGGGGGGGCGTGCAGGAGGCGGCCGATCCATGCTTCTCTCTCATCACGGATGTTTCCATCTCTCTCTCCCTCTCCCTTCCCCTCTGAAGCCAATGAAAAGGTCTGTTTTTAAATGCACAGCCCGAAGCCATGAAGCGGGCAGCTCAGAGACTGCCGTCCTGGGGAGAGGCGAGCCCACAGTAGGACTCCATGGACGAGCTCAGGCGCTGCACTCACGCGTGTTCGTAAGCTGGCATCAGTACACGCCTACGGATAGGTGGGCAGGAAGCACAGGTGTAGTGAAGTGACGTCCTTGTGCTTGCGTGTTCTAGTCAAACCTATTTGTTAAAATGCCGTGAGCCCGTGGAGGGCAGCAGCCAGGACGGTGGTGATTGGTCACCGCAGCCGCAGGAACGAACACTCCGCCGGTGCCGGAATGATCAGCGCAGCGAAGACCGTGACGGGAGCCTGGCCCCGCAACGTGCGGCGAGGACCACGCCCGCTCGCCGCCAGGGAGGTGGCAGGAGTGCAGGCCCAGGTCCCCCACAGGCCCCCACAGACTCTGCGTGTTAACGGGGTTCCTCGGCCATGAGGGTGCGCTTGCACCTGAGAACACTGAGCCTGCAGCCTGGCCTCCCGCCTGCCGCCACCTTAGGACCAATCAGGCCCCAGGCTGCACCTCAGAACCAGTCAGACCCCAGCCTTCACTCTAGAACCAGTCAGACCCCAGGCTGCACCTCAGAACCAGTCAGACCCCAGCCTTCACTCTAGAACCAATCGGACCCAGGCTTCACTCTAGAACCAATCGGACCCCAGGCTGCACCCTAGAACCAGACCCAGACCCAGACCCTGGTGGCACCTGCTCAGACACGTTCTGGTGACGTAAGGGAAGGCGGAGTCCCATGCACCTCTGTGTCTGGCACGGAGCACAGCTTTGGGCTCCGAGGAGCAAGGAAACTTCTAACTGAAATGAACACGGTTTTGTGGGTCCTTGCTACTCGAGACGGGGTGCTGGCCGGGAACCTGGGTGTCTGCTGGGAGCAGTCAGAATGCAGAGTCCCAGGCCCTACCCCCTGAGCGGAAATCACTGCAGTACGACCCCAGGGGACCCTGTGTGCGGTGCCGGCCTTCGTCAGTTTTGGGGGTGGGGGAGGCCCTGCTGTTGGGGATGAGTGAGAAGCTGGCAGGAGTCGAGGTCACTGTCCCCAGGGAGCAGGGCCAGCAGGGACCTCGACATCAAAGTCTTTGTCTCTGAGTTTTGTCTCTGAGCCCAAGTGGGACAGTTTTGGGACGACAGCGTGAGGCCTGGTGGGACGGGGGGGGGGGGGGGGGGGGGGGGGGCTCTTGGGGCCTCTGCCCGCTCAGCTCTAGCTGGGCCCCGCCTTCGCTCCGAGGAGGCTGTGCCTCTGTCCGTGGCTCCACGCCCGACACACCGAAGCACAGCCCGCCTGGAAGCAGGGTGGTGCGTGCCTGCTCGTCCCCTTCCCGGCTCCCCTGTCAGGGACGTCGGCCCAGGATCCCTCGTGGCTGAGCCAAGACGGAGGGAGAAAGACAAACAGAAACTCCTGGGAGGGTGGCTCGCCTGGCGGAAGCACAGACGCCTTGCAGATAAGCATCTAGGGCACAGCACAGGGATGTTCAAAATATTTGCCAAGAGATTAACCTCAATTTTCTCTCCAATAGGCACAGCTCTCTGTCTGAGCCGCCTGCCATGGCTGCTGACGCGTCCCGAAGCCTCCCTGTGAAGACTGAGGACTCTGTCCGTCTCCCAGCACAAGGTTAACCGCCTCGTAACCCGGTGGAGCCTCGAGGCTGGAGGAGCCGTGGGGTCAGCCGTTGGGGTCAGCGACCTGGGAGCCCAGCGGGATGGACCGAGGGTGGTCAGACTGTGGGAACTGGGAGGTGAGTGTGTAGGAAAGCCATTCACTTTTCTAGAACAACGTCGGCCAAATAAAACACCCCAGTGGTCCCAATATTTCAGAAACCTGAGGTCCAGAAAAGCTAAATTTTCTGCCTAAGATGACATAACTCTGACTTAACCATTGACACGAAGACTCCCCCTCGGACAGCTCCCGGCCCCCCAGGGGCATTTAGATTGCATTTGCACGCACGTCTGTGTGTGCCCATGTGTGCATTAGACTGACCGGTGACCCGTGAGGTCCGAAGGGTTGGCGACCGCTGCCTTAGACCAAGCAGGTTCAAGTGTAATCGCTGGTGATTCTCTGGCGACAAAAGGGGAGCAGCAGCCTCAGCCACGCGAGGAGCCTCCATGATGGAGAAACCGCAGGACCAGGGTCCTTCCCGCCCGGCCACATGGTTCCAGGCTGTACATAATCGTGTTTGCAGAGACGGCGGGTGTTTGAAGCAGTGATGGAAACGCGTTTCAACAAAGACTTCTGATCTTGCAGTTAATTGGCCAATTACTTAGCAAAGGACCCTGTGTTCTGAGGCAACAGTGGCTGTGGCCACATCTGTTCAGCTTGCCCCGCCCTGGACCAAGTCGGCCCAGCTCGATGGCCCAGACCTGGCTTAGTCGGGTGCCCAGGGGAGACTGTTTCTGGCCTCGTGGTCAGCGATGCCTGGGGCCTTTAAGACAGACCAGGCATGCCCAGCCGGCGTGGCTCAGTGGCTGAGAGTCGACCTAGGAACCAGGAGTCACGGTTCGATGCCTGGTCAGGGCACAGGCCGGGTTGCGGGCTCGATCCCCAGTGGGGGGCGTGCAGGAGGCAGCCGGTCAATGATTCTCTCTCATCGATGTTTCTCTCTCTCTCTCTCCTTTCCTCTCTAAAATCAATAAAAATATGTTCAAAACAAAACAAAACAGAGGCCAGTCATTAGTGACTGCTCTTCCGTGAGAAGCTGGAGGACGAGGCCAGCGACCAACCCATCTGAGCCGTTGGAGTGGCCGCAGACGGGGCACAGGCGTCCTGGGCAGCCCGTCCTGTGGGCACACGGGTGCTGTTCGAGGACTTTGTCAGCGTCATCAACAGCGAACGGACGAGCTCACCTGGTTTGGCGGCTCGCGCGCTCTTTCCCGCGTGGGGCGGCGCCGTGGACTGCCCGCTGCGACGGTGAGCGCAGTGGGTTCACGCAGCTCGGTCTTCTCCGGCTGCGGCTGCACGTGGGTCCGTGTGGGTCTCCGTGCCACCCCTCAGCGTCTGTTCTGACGCGCCTGTGGCTTCGTCAGGTCCCGGACATTCTTTCGGCTCCAGGAGCTGGCGGTGGAGGGAGGACCGAGGGCGCACGCGGCCCTCCCACAGGAAGCGCAGTCGGGAAGGAGATGGAAACGGCCTCCAGGATGCGCCTGCCGCTGGCCCCGCAGGAAGCGGCCGTCACCTGGCGGAGGAAGGAGAGCCGAGGGGCGGGCGCGGGACCCGGTCACGCGGCTCTTGGCCTGCAATTATTTCCAAATGAGTTATTTTTCAAAGTTTCCAAGGAGGATCCTCCTCCAGCTTCCAGCCTGCAGTTGGGATTTGAAAGCTCCAGGAAGCCAAGCCCCTTCCCGTGACCCCGTCTTCCTCAGGGCAGGTGCCCGGTGCAGGCGTGGCCCCCGGCCTGGTTGGGAGGCCACCAATCCATGTCACTCCGTCCTCCCTCTAAAAATCAAGGGAAAAACGTCCTCAGGTGAGGATTCACATGAACGTGAAAAACAGAAACAGCACAAATTTATTGAGGAAACCGAAGGTGGGCAGGGCCTTTCTGGCTGCCTCACCTGCCTGTCCAGTGGGCGGTGCCTCGGGCGGGTCCCCTGATGCGGGCCCACAGCAGTCCGCTGTGGACTCGGCACTGGGGGGCGGGCGGGGTGTCTCCCGGACTCGGTGCTCATCGCTTGGAAAGGAGGTTATTGCCACACAGACTGGGCTCAGGTTTAACAGCCTTAACCCAACAAACAGCAGCAGCGGCGCGGGGCAGGCCAGGCTGCGTCTCCCGGCCGGTGGGGGGGGGGGGGGTCGGAGGGGCAGCGTGGGACTCGGCCGGAGCCAGGCGGGCTGTGCCTTCACCCATCTTCTCCCACGGGGGCTGCCTGCTGTCTGTGGACGGTTCCCTGGCTGTGCAGAAGCTTTTCGTTTGATGGGTCCCCTTTGTTTACTTTTGTTTTTGTTCTCAGATCCATAACATTTCTTAGGCCGATGTCAACGAGTTTGTGCCTGTGCTTTCTTCCAGTTTTATGGTTTCTGGTCTTACATTTAAGTCTTTAATCCATTTTAAAATATGTTTTATTTATTTCAGAGAGGAAGAGAGAGAGAGAGAGAGAGAGAGAGAGAGAGAGAGAGAGAGAAATATCAATGCTGAGAGAGAATCATTGCACGCCCCCGCTGGGGATCAAGCCTGCAACCCGGGCCTGTGCCCTTGACCGGAATCGAACCCTGACCTCCTGGTTCTTGGGTCGATGCTCAACTCTGAGCCACACCGGCCGGGCTCTTCAATCCATTTTGAATTTATTTTTGTAAGAAAGTGGTCTGATAAGGGGTTAATATCCAAACTATATGAAGAATTCATACAACTCAGCACACACACACACCAATCCAACTAGAAAACTGGCCGAGGACCTGCCTAGCACTTCTCCAAAGAAGATACACCGACGGCCAGCAGCCACCTGACAAGCTGCTCCATTTTTAATCGCGAGGAAAATGCCAATCAAAACCACAGCGAGACACTGGGGGTAGGGGCCCAGGGGATTGTCAAGGGCGGAGAAAAAGGAGACATATGCAATACCCTTTGTAATACTTTAAGCAATAAAACAATTAAAAAATAAACACACCACAGCGAGAGACCACCTCCTGCCTGTCAGGTCGGCTGTCGTCAAGGACAAGGCAGGAGTATGGGTGAGGAGGTGGGAGAGGACCCCTGTTGGTGCGAACGCAGGTTGGTGCAGCCACTAGAACAGTGGAGGGTCCTCGAAAATGCTGCCCATGGAACCCAGACCGCACTGCAGCCCCACTTCGGGCATCTGCGCTGAGAACCTGAAAACACGAATTCAAAAAGACACGCACCCCCGTGCCCAGTGCAGCGCTTTGCTAATGGGATACGGAAGCGGCCCAGGTGCCCATCAGTGGACGATGGATGGAAAGGCTGGGGTTCGGAGGACAGTGGAAGGGCACTCAGCCGGCAGGATTAGCACCTTACCATTTGCAGCAACATGCAAGGACGCAGGGACGGTGCTGAGTGCAGTAAGTCACGCAGAGAAGTGGAACTACTGCCTGGTTTCACTTGCACGTGGAAGCCAGAAAGACAACAAGAAGCAAACAAATAAAACAGCCAGAGAGGAGGGTGGGGGTGGGCGCTGGGGGAGGGGAGCGGGAGGCACAGGCTTCCAGCCCTGAGACAGGCCGGCCTCGGGGTGTGAGGGAGGGGAGTCCGCGGCAGGGGCCACGCGGCATGGTGACGTGGCTGCTGGACTGGCTGTGCGCCCACTTCGTCAGGTTTATCGACGTTAAATAGCACCTTGGACTCAGCACAGCCGATGTCAGCTCTACCCTAATGAAACAGACAAGAAAGCGGGGACCCCAGGTTCAGAGACGCTGCGATGGCGCTGTCCTGGGAGGAGCTGTGACAGGCAGGGTGGCTGTTCTCTCTCTGGGTGGTCCCGAGGGGGGGCCTTATCGGGCGTGTGTCCCATGGGAGGTGGCGTGTGGAGCGGCAGGGAGGCGCCCACCTCCCCCTGACTCTCCCTCCTGTCTCACCCCACGGCAGAGGGCCACGGCGGCGGCCCGGGTGCGAGTGTCAGCCAGGCACCGGGGCTGGGAGTCAGAGGGTGGATGCGGGTTCGGGTTCTGAGCCGAGGGGGCCTCCCTGAGCGGTGAGCGGGGGCTGGAGGGCCCGGGCCCCTTCTGCCTCTGGCTGTGGCTTCTCCCCAAGCCCTGCTTCCTGTCCTGTGTGTGTGTAGGTGTATACATGTATCATGTGTGTGAGTGTGTATGTACGTGTACAGGTGTGTGTACATTTGTATGTATGTGTGAATGTGTGTATAGGTTTGTGTGTGAGTGTATATGTGTGTAGGTATGCACATACATGTGTATGCATGTGTGTATATATGTGTGTGCATGTATGTGTGTATATGTGCATAGGTTTGTGTGAGAACGTGTGTATATATGTGCACGTACATGTGTATGTGTATGTGCATGTGTGTATGTGTGTGAGTGCGTGTATTAGCTTACACAGGGGTGCTGTGAGCCAAGTGTCAGCTCCCCCGCGGCCTCTGGCTCTGCCCACATCTCGCTGTCGGTGGCCCTGACCAGCAGAGCGCGGGGAGCTCGGGGCTGTGCAGGGCCTGCAGGAGCCGCTCCCGTGTCCGTGCGCGTGGCCCTCCCTGTGAGTCCGCCTGCCAGTGGCTGTCCGCCGGGAAGGGTGTGCTGCAGTCGCACGTAGCCGGGCACACGGCCTGACCGCAGCGGTGAGCTCCTGGCAGATTAGATCAGCTGAAATCACGCATGTACACACATGCATGCCTAGGCACACACGTACACACAACCCATGGCACACATATATGCACACACATGTGGGGCGATACTGGGTTCAAATAACATACGACTTTCTCAGAAACGCCTCGCCCTCTTGCATGTGAGCCCGTTACAGCCTTGTTTCCTGTCTGTATCTCCCTTCCTCCTTGCCTGGGTCCCCTCGCCCGTGGCTGTCGCAGCAGAAGTTAAACAGCCCGAGGGGTTTGGTGAAGCCGGGAAACAGCCTGAGCCGCCACCGCACCCCCAGGCAGGTGGCACGGCCGACACAGCAGGCGCCTCGGGCTCTGGGCTCCCGGCAGAGACCGCAGGACCGGTTCGGTGAGGCCACCGCATCAAGCAGCGACTCGCAGAGGAGGCGAGGGCTCCGTCGTGTTGTCTCTTGTCTCTTATCCCGGCTCCGGCTCCGCAGGGAAAGGAACCATAGCCAAGGCGGGGGCTGGGCGGGGCGGCTCAGGGGCCAGCGCCCCTCCCCAGCGCCCCACCCCAGCGCCCCTCCCCCAGCGCCCCCTCCCCCAGCACCTCCTACCCCCAGCGCTATTGGGCTGGGCCCACACCTCTCCTTCCAGAGCTGAAACCAAACTCCGCCATCATCCTGCCCCTTAGTCAGGACGGAGACTAAGCTGACGGCACGGCTCCCCCACACACGGGCCCCACGAGAGCAGCTCTTTCTTGGTGTGAGCGTGGGTCCTGCTCGGCCTTGGCTGGTGCCCTGTCCCATGTGGCGCGTTTGCTTTCCACGGTTCGCTTCCCCGCACTCCTGGGCTCCCTGGCACTGCCCCCGGGTGAGCTGCTTGCATCGGGGCAGCCTCTGGAAACCCCAACTGAGACCCCCTCCTTGGCTACCCCACGTGTGTCCAGCCTTGATGGTCTGAGGATGCTCTGATCCTGGCAGCCAGGCCTCCCCTTAAAAAAAATAGATACATTTTTATTGATTTCAGAGAGGAACGGGAGAGGGAGAGGGAGAGAGAAACATCCATGATGAGAGAGAATCATTGATCAGCTGCCTCCTGCACACCCCCCACAGGGGATGGAGCCTGCAACCCAGGCATGTGCCCTGACCGGGAATCAAACCTCGACCTCCTGGTTCCTAGGTCGACGCTCAAACACTGAGCCACGCCAGCCCGGCAGGCCTCCCCTTCTCGTCCACCTGCACCTCCGCTGCCCCCTCACTCTAACAGGACCATCTGCACCAGGCACACAGCCGACACCACAGCCCGGGAAGCCAGGCAGAGGGCGTGCGGGCGTGGGGGG